AAATGGTTACTAAGTTACTAGTTACTAGTTATTTTAGTTTGTTGTAGCAGGACTTTGCAGAAACAAACCTGGCATTATGTTTCCTTTTACGGGCTATTTTTGAACTTTACGTGAATCATCATTGATTCATTAATCATCACATATTTGTATATAGTATATAGTATACAGTAGTAACTAGTATATTAGATTTTAATAATATTGTATACAAAGGGCCCTGATTCAGGTTGCTGGTGGTGATGGCCCTTCACCGGAGTTGCTTGCGACCTTGAAGTTCTTGGGCAACCTCATTGATTCCTGTCAGCATCCACATGCAGAGCTTGCGACACAGCAGCTGAAGATTATCAAATCAAGTTTGATGTGTCAACACACTGCTAATGACTTGTGGCAAAAAGGCAAGGACGCGGAAGAGCGACTCAAGAAGGATTCCAAGCTCAAGGTTTTGTTTGCGTGCTGCGCCCATCTTAAAAGCTATGCGGAAAGCAAAGCAAAGATCTGTCAATGGAAGGAAGACCACTCAGATATCTGCACGGCCGCAAATGAAGCTGTGAAGGGTTCAAACGAGGGGGATTGTGCTTTGCTCAATCCAGACATGGTCCTCATTGACTTGGACGTTGTGGGAAAGCTGGATGAACGAGCCATGAATGAAAAAGATGAGAGTGTCATGGATTGTGTGGAGCGCCACTTGGCAGGTTTCCAAACAAGCCTAGCGACTCGTGCACAGTGTCTCAAGAAAGCCACCCAGAACTTCTACCTTGGAGGAACTCAGGACTGGAAACGCAGCTTTGGTCAGGACATCCAGATCGAGGGTGTGCTGAAAGCTGCCGGGGACAGTATCTTGAAAGTGAAAGGTGTTAGCATCAAAGAACAAATTGAATTTGCTGAGAAGGAGCGCAGCGACTGTGTTATGCTTTGTTCTTATGTTTTTGTTTGTTTTTTGTTTTGTTTTCTTCTTTTCGTGCGCTGTCCAGTATTTTTTTACTATATATTAACCTATTTATAACTGTTTTAAACTTAATTAATATTGATTCAGTATTAAGACCTCGTATTCTATTCAATATTCAGTATCAGTAGTCTTTATTTAAATTTTAAATATTGTGCACTGTACAGTCTACACTACACTACACTACACTGCACTGTATACTAGTTACTAGTTACTAATTTCTAGTAGCTAGTAAACTACTAAGTTACGACCAACAACTAATAAATATTACATTGTAATTAGCTGGGTGTGAGAGAATTGAATAGGCAAGGGTTTGTTACTCGCTTTCGTTCACTGCGGCACTACTAACTACACTACTTACTACTTGCTATGTTTGTCAAATCATACGTCTGTGACTATATAGTGACTATGCTTTGGAAACAGTTTTGTATAGTGACTGCTAAGCTACTAAGTAGCTGTATGCCTATGCACTTAATTTCAATAGATTCGGGTAGTCGGACAGCCCTGTGATTCAGGAGATGCCTGCCATGGAAGAATGCTTGGGAAAATTTCCTTCCTCGACTGGCACTGAGAAGACCCGGGAGCTCGTCAATGAGCTGAAAGCTCTGACCAAGAGTGCGCAAATTCAGTATAACGAATCAGCCTTTGCATATGCTCTCACCAATTTGATGGCCAAAAAGGCTACATCAAGTACGGCTAAAGACAAGAATGAGAAGGACATGAAAAATGTCATCTCTCACCATCATGCGTTGCTTCTGGAAAGGAAGCATGGGTCTTCTGTGGCTGACATTCACCCTGTGTTGCTCGAAGCTGCAAAGCAGCACTTGTAGTAGCCATGGCCCGTTTGTGGTTGCAATCTGACCCCTGCCCAACTGTTCGTGTCTGGTCATTGTGATAATGTGCGGCCATAAAACCTCTATCTATCAATCGTAGTAGTAGTAGTAGTAGTAGTAGTAGTAGTAGTAGTAGTAGTAGTAGTAGTAGTAGTAGCCGCTGGCCTAGCAGTGGCAACCAACCTGAACTCAGTAACCTTCAGTCGCACCTTTCTTTTGTCCCTCCCAGAATAAGAGGTCAGTGCAGCTGCATCTACCCAGAGGTGACGTTGCAGCAGTCCTATTTTCAAGCACCAACTACCCGCAAGCTTTGCATTGTTTGTTCAGTTAGATACCTTAGGCCTTAGGCCATTGGCTTAATCAAACAGCAACATTGCTGTTCTTCGTACTTACTTAATTCACCTGTTACGTGTTCTAACAGATTCTAACATTTTTTATCATTTCGGAATCCAAGCATTTGCGGGCTGACAGTGGACTCTGCTGCCTCAAAGACCTTGACCAGGCCGCATGCGCAGGCCCATGGAAAATAATGATCGTCCTTTCTTTTGTTGGGCGGCTAGCGTCGAGCGGTTCGTGCTTTCTATGCGTGTATGTCAACCACCGCTTGCTTTTCTGCTCACTATTTTTCTCACTTTTTGTGCTTCAAATCTTGCTTTTTGAAGAATCTCTTCTTGCTATTTTTCTCTCTTTTTATGGTTCTTTCTGGTGTTTTGCTTGCTTTATTCTTGCTTTTGGAAGTGAGCATTCTTGCCTTTTTTTGTTTCAACCTCTCTTTTTTACTGCTATATGTTTCTGGCTTCTTGCTTTTTTAATCTCTTTTTTTTTTGGACATCAAGTACCGCTTGCTTTTGAGATCACTTTTTTCGGGGTATCTCAGATCACTAAAAAATTATTTTTTAATTTCCAAGCCCTGGCTGCAAAAGCAACTCTTAAGTGTAATTGTTTCATGGTTTGACGATATATTGGTGCTAGTACCCAGACACGACGTGTCTGGGACTGCCATAGGACTGCCGATCAGGCCAGGTGGTGCCAGGGGGGTCAATTGGGCGGCAGGCATACATGGAGTGTTTGGGGTAGCATAATGGCCTCCAACCTACTAGCAATGGCCGTATATAGCTTCTTGCTATACTATGATGGGTGACAGGACGCAACATCACATCTAGGAATTTCTTGAACACTGCGCCAAATGTCGTCTTTCACTGGACTTCGAGGGAGCTGGTCACGCAGCTCACCTGGTCCTCACCGAAGGTCGTGAGTAAGAGCCTCCGTGAGCGCTCTAGCGCTACTGGTAGTGTTACGAAGCCAGCAGATGCTGGCCGAAGCGCGAGGCCGCCCAAATGTAGCTAGCCGTCACGTGCTCTTGTTCATCTCGACATTCCATGGAACACAGCCAACTCCTTTTTGTGTTTGTCGCGCCTTGCCTTTCCTCGTGAAGGCCTGGATGCTTGGCCGGGTGGCACGTGCTTGGGCCTTCTTTACCCACTCTGGCCAGTGATCTACACGTTTTTTCATGCCCAGTTGTTGAATACTTGCGCGCAAAAGCAGCGGTGCCGCCACCAACCAACGCCGCTGGCTCAGTTCCTATGTCAGCACTCTCTCAACTTATGTCAACGCCCAGCGTGAACCCTTAGCCTTGACCCTCAACTGTCGAAACACGGACAAAATGAAGGCAACGCACGCGCGCAGTTGTTTGGAAGTCCTTATCATTGGAACATGTTGGAAACTCGTACGATGTCTTCTTGGGCGTGTGTTGAGTCACTCAGCCTTCATATTCCCATGATGCCCGTTTTTGCTGCCCCCACCAGCGTGGTGGCAATCTTTCTCCTACAGAAAGAGAGAGAGAGAGAGAACGACAGAGAGAGAGAGAGAGAGAGGGGAGAGAGTGCAATAGCACTCTCCCGCGTGTTCATCTCTTTTCCTTCTGATGGGTGGTGCATCCCGCTTTTTTGCGAGCGTCGTAGACCTCCGGTACCTCCGGTCCCGTCGCTAGGACCGTGCGGTCACCTTGGAACAGCTGCTGAGAGTGGTGGAGTTTAGCAAGGTGAGGCCGTGGCCGTCGGAGCAACCACCCTGTGAGACCGTGGATGGAACAGCGTCGCAACCGGTGTTTTGTTGGTTTTCAGTTTGGGGTGGGTCAAACCCATGATATAGTATATGTAAGTATATATATATAAGGGTAAATAACTTCTATTTTAATATATGATTTGATTCAGCTTTCTGCTTCAGCATAGATGCTGGCATAACAAAGGATTTTTGTTTGGGGGGCATGGGTGCAACCACCAACCAGAAGAGCAGAGGATGCCAGCATTTTTTCAAGTCAACACCTTGAGGAAGTGGGTCTGCGGGGTCAGCAACTGCTAGGCGTGCCGGGATGTTTCAGGGAAATAATTATGACACAGCATGGCACAAATCATTTAGGCACTCTGATATATTGCCGGAACGCCCTTAGTGATGACCCGATAGTTCCCAGATGTTTTACTTCAGAATGCCTCCCTAATTGTTTAACTTAACATATAATAGCTAATTCGAGTGATGACGTTTGCCAGCCGGAGAAAGCACGTTTGTCTTCTTCCACTTCCGTTGTGGCCGTTCTCGCTGACACCTTGGCCGTCCTTTTCTTCTGAAAAAAGACTCCCAGAGTTGCCATTGGCCGGCTCTGCGTGGCTCAAAGCATTTTTGTCCCAAATTCGTGGTGCGAGAAGGTTGGCCCCTAGAAACCATGGCTTCAGAGTGGGACGCTTGGACTGGAAACACAGTGTTTGGTCTCAGCAGAGGGAAACGAGCACCGAAAAGCAAAAGCAATGAAGAGGAAACTGTATTCAACAAAACAGCTCGCTGAAGCTGTACACTAACTCTCCTTCCATGCTTCCATGAAAGTGGACCATCATCTTCCAACAAGCATGTCCAAAATTGTCCAAACCTACTAGTACCTTGGAGTATACGTTGAACCACGACAAGGGCACTTGGGAATGCGCCTTTTGTAACATGATCATCTTCAGGTTAAAGACAGAGGGGTTGGTAAAACAGTGGTAGAAACCTATATGGGTACCATGGCAGGGCATCCCGGTTTATAAGTTCAAAAAAACTGTTTAGGAGCCATGTCATTTGCACAGAGTATATATTAGCCGTTGATTTGGCTCTTCCTGGTTCCTAGCTGAACATCCTTGCTTCACTCCTTAGAGGTTGCCGCCGTTCACTCCCAGGAAGTGGTTGATGCATCAGCCAAGATGAGGGCAGTCAACGATTGGTTGGAGCACAAGGGCTTGGGGAGGTATGCCGAGAAGATCGTCGAAGTGACCGATGTGCCTGGGATTTTGGGGAGTGACCGGTGTTCAGATTCATTTCAGTTGGGCCATTTGTTTGATGGATTAATTCAAGCATCCCGACTCTATAAAGGCCCCTTTCTATAAAGGCCAACAGACATAGAGATATTTTCCATGGGAGATTTGGATGGTTTCCATATCAAACAGTTTGTGTCAACGTCAACGTCACGTCCCTGGTTTTTGTAGAGTGAGATTTGTCCCTTTTAGATGGGGGCAGAGATGTTCTTTCCCCAGCTCAGCTTTGCTGTGAGGGGTTCTCAATTCTTGCATAGAAACGATCCTGGGCCAAAATGATTTTTGGCATTTTGTATCCTTTTGTCTCACATTGTCTTCCTTTGTCTCCGTTGTTTCCCTTTGCTTTTGCAAATGTGCAAAAGAAACATCAAGCTCGATACTGGTGTTTTTCATGGACTTGATCCCTTTGGCATTGTTCATTTGGGCTCGATGGTCTTTGAGACGTCGTCTTAACCATCCTGATCCGCTGGTTGAAGCCTCCTGTACGGAGAAAAGCAGCGTGAGTTCGGAGTGACCACTGAGGTCACCTGCTTGGAAGACTTTAAGATGATTGATGCCACTTCGTCCTGGAGAAAAGGGGGGAAAGGGTGATTTATGAGTGATCTTATGTGATGTGTATGTCCAAGTTTTTTCCCCTGATGCCACTGGCATCCACTTGCTCGGACGGAAGGAATGTTCCTTTTCAAGGGTTCAGGTCGTGACTCAAAAAACCGGGGAGGCTTCATGAGGGTTCTGCTTTGCTGCTTCTATCAGATCTCCGAGGCCCTGATGTGGATCAGTGGATGGTTGGTGTGGACAGAAACTCAGAACTCAGTTCGGTGGTCCGGAGGTCCAAGGTAAAGGCCACTTGATGGACCTTCTTCGGATCTTCCCAATGACCGAACTTGATCCCCTGGTTGGTTCGGTCACGAACAGGCTTGTAAGTTCGGTCACTGGATGGACTCCAGAGTTCGGTCACGAACGGAAGGTAGTGGTACAGAGGGTTTGGTTTTGGAGAAAGACTGGCAAACTTAAGGACTGCTTGGTGGGTAAGCCCTAGAGATTCACAAGGTAAAATCCGAGTTGGCAGAATGTCTAACAGTCTAACAGTCCTGAATACCTGCAAGATCCTGCTCTTAGATTGGAGGCCATCGCCCTTGGGGTTGGACGCCGCTACCATTCGGCTTTAGATCGCTTCGAGGCCAAGATGGCAGAGCAGATCATCGAGACTCTGCAGTTGAAGCTCTTCTGCAGTGGGGAGTTCTGCACACACCAGAGATGATGAGTTGCACCACTGGGACCCCCAGTCGGGGTGGTAGACATGGACACCCCTTGACACAGCTAAGGGGCTATACATAGACACCCCGACAGGAGGCTCCTGGCAGGGGTGGGTTGTTCGTGTTGCTCGTGTTTTGCTGATGAGTTGGTGTTGCCAAACTTGTGCGTACATCGAACTCGTCAGAACAAACATGGGCCCGGTTTGCTTTTTGGTGGGGTCTGTCATTCCAGGCGCTTTGCTTTGTGAGCCATTCCAGTCGAAGGCTGGGTCTGTTGGGAAACCTGGGATGCGCCTGTCTGCTGGGTTTCAAGCTATGTGGGACCTAAAGGTAGTGCAGACTGGTGTTGAAGACACTTGGCTATGGGTCATGGCACCAGAAGACTGTGGTTGACCATCGAAAATGAACAGAACAGTCTAGAAGGGAGGTCCACCTACGCCACGGTTTGGGGCTCCAGGTGGCCTGGCCCGCAGCCAGTTCGGATTCTTCGTGATGGGTTGTTTGACTTGAAAGGCCGACAGAACTTGGAGTCAGGGGAGAAGATGGAGTAACAAGGCCTTGAAGGACCAAGTCGCCGCCAACAGGTCGATAGGGTTCCAGATGGACGCCGGTGATGGTGTTGATGCTCGTTTGGAACTGAACACTCAGGATTAAGCACCTGAATGCTTGACTCTTGACTCGTTGGTTGGAATTTTGCCATTAGCATGTTTGGAAAGCTTCGTTGAGCCTTCATTGCTTCGCCACAACCGTCGGACGAAAGAGGTATCGGAGACACCCGACACGTGTCGGGTGGCGCGGACGCTGTTCCATGCGTTGGGTGTCGGAAGACATGGGAAGATGGACTCCGCGTCTCCGCTCTTGTGGACCTCGGCGTGTTCATGTGTGACCCAGGAAGCTGGTCACGGCGGAGAAGTTCCGGCAAGCTGTGGCGGAAGTCATCGGTGCCCGACTCGAGGTGGCCCTGTCGTGTGAGTGTTGGCGTCTCTGTGTGGGGGCCATCCGTCTTCTTGTCCTTTCGCCTTTTTGGGTGCGGGGCGAACCTCGAAAAGCACATTTGTTTAAAGAATAACACAAAAACACAACGAACATATCAGTTACAAGAGAACACATGCACTGTGATGTTGCTTTTACCCTTCTCAGCCCTTGAGCCCTTGGGCTCTTGGGGCTCTCATGCGATGGCCAGTGGATGAAACCACCAGTGGCAGGGTCCAAGGAATCGGAAAAGCAGGTTTTTGGATAAGTGGATCTCTATGGACTCCGGTTGAAGAGATGTCTCATGGTCGCAATCATGGTCTCTACCAGCACCCTCCTGGCCAGGCTGTTAGTTGAGGGTTGTTAGGCCCTAACAGGTCTCTATTGGTGACCTGTCCGAGGGTCCTGGTATATATATATAAAGCTATCAAAAGGATGTTAAGTTGCTCAAAGCAACATTATACACGAACTGATCCCCAAGAAACGAACCTAGAACAACATATAACCACTAACAACATAATTTTGAACAGCAAAACACCCAATCATTGACACATCTCACCAAACAAAAATAAAGAACAGACAAAACAAAAAGACATGAAACATCATGAAACTATCTACCAGCATATCATCAAGATCTCCAGCATATCCACCCGTTTCGGAAAGCACTTCAAACCAGACGGAACTTCACATCGCCGCAGACGGACTCTTGGACCGAAATCACCGAAAGCGAGGCCGGGAGTGGGAGTGGTTCTTCCGTTGCTTTTAAACCAATGGGAGTGCCGTGTGTATACAGAGTCGCTTCAGATTCAGGGTTCACCACATACTGACTATACAATACTCTAATAATTATACATCATATGGAATCATATGGTCACCCCCACTCTAGATACACCGGCGCCTGGCGCGCCGCCATTTCTGAGGGAATCTTGTGGGTGAGGAAAGTTTTGTGTTTTTTTGTAGACCACTCCACAAGTGAGTGTAATAAAAGGCTGGCTTCATGTAGGAGCATCGCTGCTTCAATGAACTTTGGCACTTTGGCCAACAACAATTTTTATCAGACTCCCTTCTTCGCTTTGGATCTCGAGTCCAAGTGATGATCAACTTGCATTTCCTGGGGAATTGTTCCTCGGAACTGGTGCTCACCAATCCCATCCCCATCATCACCTTTTGCTAGGAACTTTGGGAGTTTCAAATTATTTTCACAATATGCGAACTTCGATGTTGTTGTGTTTTCGTGGGCGTGCCAACCTAGAACCCACTGACCTCCTGCTTTGATTGGGAAAGACCATATATTGAGTGGTTGGTGGTCCAGCGTAGAGGAACACCTTGCCTCCAACAAGAAGCTTCCATCCGCAGCACACCGCAGGGCGCTGTAGCCGCTCCACCACCGCCTCCAGAGGAGCCGTTGCAGGAGGTGATTGCCATTTGCATTGATCGCTCAGGACGGTGTGCGACGGTGTGCCCTCTTGCGGTGCGCCAAGGGCTTGACCAGCAACACACATGCACATCATTACAAATATATATTTGTTGTTTGTTGGTGTTGAGTGTTTGGATTTACCTCATCTTGGGCAACAATGAGGTTGTGTAAGTTCTGCGATGTTTTGCATGTGACTTGATCGTGCGTGGATTTCCAAGTCGACTTTTGTTCTAAGTTTAACATCCTTCGCGGAACATCTTCCAACATTTGCTCAACCCGACCCGCCATGTTGTCCCACTCCAACAAGTCAGGGGCCCAAGGCACTGGCATCAACGACCGCAGGATCGATGGGAACTCCCTTCGCAGAGGTCACGTTGAATGTGGTGAAAGGCGGGAGAGGTCGGGGAGGGGGGGTGAAAAGAGCATGTCAATCATTGATTCATATTGATTCCATTATAACACAAATAAATATATGTGTTCATAAAATTCACCATCATATGTTCATCATTTTATAACATCATAAGTATACAGCATACTGGCAAAAGGAGATACACGGTTTTCGGAGGCAGACCAGACCGACACGACGCCTGTTAGCGATACATAATAGCGATATAGTATCCATGAAAAAACCATGCATGAGACTCATGAAAAAGCGATAATAGGTTTTCTATTATCATGCACACCAGAATCACTCAAATCCGAATGACTCCACTCTACTCGACCAGCCATAAAACGATATAAGCGGATGCTTCCAATCCATTCAACCAGAAGGTTTCCAGCCATGGAAAAGGCTGCCATCTCTCTTAGGTTGGAGGCCTTAGGTTCGAGGCCATTGGCTAAACAGGAAGAAACGTCCATCGGTCCATTTCTCACTCCGCCTCAAGGCGAAACCCGAGATTCCGTGGCGCAGCGCACTCGGATGGAAGCGGTGAAGGCCGGGGCCTTTGTGCGGTCGGAGCGGAGCGAGCGGGGAGCGTGGCGACCACCGCTGCGGCCAGGAAGGTGTCACCTGCGCGGTCAGGAGCACAGGGACACGGCGGAACTGGGGCGACAGCCTCTTAAGAGGTGGAGGACCAAGCCATGACCCGCCGTGGAGGACCTTGCCAACCTTGTTGGAAGACACCTCACTCCGGTGGAGAAGTTTGGGGCGGCCGCATGGCCCAGCGATCGAAGCGGCGGAGCTTCAGCTACGTCGCAGGTGATTAGGCGGTCTTGAAGTCCTGTCAACTGCTCAAGGCAACCAGGGAGGTCTTACCTTGATGTTTCGTGTTTGTTTTCCTAGGGCTCCAAGTGTTTCCTCAGAAGGTATGAGTGAACCCTCTAAATCCACCCCGAGCACCTTCTCAGAAGGTACTTGGAGCCCAAACCGGAGTAGACATGATGTTGAACAGGTGCGCGGAATGTTGTCAATCACAACGAGGATTGATATATGGACTCGCACATGGACTTCTACTAAGGGCGATAGAGATCGGTACCAACCACCCGTGCTCCCTGACATGACTGGGCTTTGACTGCTGTCCAGCATATCGAGGCCATGTTCTACGCCTTCCGAGATCGAGTCGAGAGCATGGGCAGCACCTGGACAACAAAATGGTCAAGGAATGAACCCCTCATGTTTCTCTTCAGGCTTGGTTTTTTTGGGCTCATGACTCATGCCCACATTGCAACTCCATAGGGTCCTTCCAGAACGAAAGGCTGGCACTGGGCCACCGGGGACTGGCTTTGTGTATGGAGCTCCTTCGGCTAGTGGGTTAAAATTAGATTGATTGTGCATGTGGTATGTGACAGAAATGCAAAGTGAACAGAAATCAACTTTCAAAATCGCTTAACGGACCATGGATTACATGAGTTGTGTTTGTTTCTTCCTTGATTTCCCCTCTGCCAAGACAGATATGCCTTTTGATGGCGACGCTTGGGTACACCTCGCAGATGGTCCTGGCCCATGCCACAAGCGGTGAATGCATGGTTTTAGAATGCTTTAGACAGGCTTAGGCTTATTATATCTTATCATTATACTTTCTGTGGCTCAAACAACCATCCAAACGCACTGGTGAAAGAAAAAGTGATCTCCAACCTGCAGGTGCTTGGGTCTTATTTTTTCAGCCACAGCTGTATGTAGAATTGAGGAGAAGGGGTCACTAGTTCAAGTGGTTGGTCAGGTTTGACGTCGCTGTCGTCAGCAAAATGGGAAGGTGGACAAACACCACTTAGAGATTGGAACATCAAGGAATTCTGGCTGGTTAAAGTAGATGCTTGATGATATGACACCTCCAAGCCTGAAGAGGCTTTGCCATCCAAATGGGTGGGGTGGGGTGGGGGCGATCAATGAGTCTAAATTAGGTGTGCTTTCTCAAAGCAATCTTGGAAACTAGCCCTTCTTGCCAGGGGCGTTTTTTTTTGTTTTGCTTCCTGTGTGTATGCACTGACGCACTGATTGGTCATCGCAGCTCAAGAGAGGACTTTCTTTTGTCACGCTCCAGCATGCTTCAGCAGATCCGAGGTGGAAAATATCATTTAGGATTGCTTCAATTCGATGACAAGGTCGAGCGCATGCTGGACACTTGACATGGTGCATGAGGGTCTGATGTCGGTGGTGTTCTGTTCGTTCATGGTTGAAAGGAGAAAGCACATATTATATAACTGTACCATTCTTGTGTATTATAACAACCCTCAGTCCATAGAGGACGAAAAAAAAGCTGTGCACTCTTGGGGGATGCGGTTCAGATTGGAGGAGCTTTTGTTCCGGTCATGAGGAATACCTTGTGTTGGAAGACGCAGTGAGTGTGGACCTGCCTGACTGGACAGGACATGACAGGATCGATCGAATGCATACCATGTGGATCCACGGGGCGTGTCCCACCAGCAACCATTAATTAGTAATCGATGGTTGAGAAAGGCCTTGATCAACCATCATCATCCATTGGTAATGGGAGAATTCCAAAGGATTTGTACCATATTGCATCAGAAGTTTGTATATCCAATCTTGATTTCGACTGATTTGATTGGAGAATTCCAAAGATTTTGCACAATCAGTCAAAATTTTGAGATTTACGATGAAAGGGGAATTGTCATTAACAAACCCTATATGACCCTTGCGAGCTCGAGGGCCTAGGCGGCCTAGCGCTGTGTGTTTCAACAATCGGGTCGATGAATCCAGTCGAGCTCTGGGTTGATTCATTTGTCGGAGAAAGAATGAGAAAGACACCAAAACCAGCAGTCACAAAGGGGTGCTTAATAGAGGTTCGGAGTGCCCTTTATCCACTCACTTAGGGACCAAACACCACCCCGACATGTGACTGCTGGCACAAACAACTTCATACTTCCGAACCATGGAACGATGAACTCATGGACTCATGTCTCCAGTTGGACGTTTGCTGTTTCACCGCCGCTTTTTTTTGCGACAACAGGGTGCTCATACTCGTTGTGCGGGCAAAATGCTGAAGCATCGCTAAGTAGGGATCGGACGAACAAAGCCTTGGGTCCGGGTCCGTGGTCTCCAGCCCCCTTGGACTTTTTGGGTGATCCAAGGGCTGGTTGGACACGTGTGGGTACCCTGTGGTACCCTGCACTGGTTCACCCACTTCAGACTGCCGCGAATGCCGGTCCGGTGAGTCGTCATGAGTCGAAGTGGATTCCCATGGTTCCTCGGATCACCATGGTTCCTCGGAAATACAGGTGTACGTCCAATTGCATACGGTTAGTGGACAGTCTACGTGTTTTTTGGTGCAGTTTGGGACTTACGTAAGATCATTCCACTCCAATCATTGACCTAGACATTTCCAACAGTCTCCTGAATGCAGAGTTTCTATGTCAGCGTTCAGTAGAATTTGTTTCCCCCATTAAACAGGTTTAAACGCTTGAAGAGTTGTGCGCCGTCCCTGAAGCTTGAAACTCGAGGACACCACGCCGTCCCTGGATCTATTTGAATCAGTGGTGGATGACATGAAGAAGAGGGGACAGACGGCGATCTACTCTTCCATCGTTGAGGCGAACGCCGTGCCACGAAGTTTCAGCGTCGTGCAACGAGTGGACGACGTGGCAACCTGGGCACGCACCGTGCACCAGGAGGAAGGTTTCCTGCGACGGGTGACTTTTTGGGAAAGCGTTGGCAACTCAGGCAACTTGTGTAGCAGATTCCGATCGGAGACTGTTCTCCTGAATTCACCGCGAGAATTCAAGGGTGACCCTGAGCCAGCTTCGCCAGAGTGTTAGTGGGAAGGACGCAGCGACGCGTAGTGTCGACTCTTGATCAATAGCCCCCACCTCAGACATGGATTGTCAAACCTCTGAAGAGGCTTGGGGGTTTTGTTAATCAAGAGTCTACATGACGTGCTGTGGTTGCTTCTCCCTCCTTCCCATCACTGGAAACCCTGGTCGAGTTCAAGAGCTCTTTTGGAATTCTGGTGTGGTTTTCATGGACATATGTTCCACGGGAACGCAAGTCATGAAAAGAACATGATAATTATTGACATATAAGTATACTGACTGGTAGCTAGTCCTATAATGTGCTGTAGCTACAAAGAACCGAAAGAACGATGGAAACTCAATGCGTTGGCCTTAGTTGGCTGAATTCCTCTCTTATGATGTGCATGGTCTTTAGTACTAGTCTCCCTCAAAGTGTCGTTTTGGTTGCCCAGTTCCAACTGGCGGCCATGGCTCCACATTGAGACGAAGCACCAAGCTTGCTTGGTTGCACGAGGCAGTGTCCGACTCCTCATATTCATTCTATTCAAGGGTAGATCCTGCGGGTGGTCAAATCGCCGGACCTGCCTGGAGTTCCGAAGAGGTGGCTCTTAAAGCCCGTCGAGAGCTTACTGTAGGTGGGGCAGCCTCGACTTCCTCCAAGTTTGGCACCCCAAAATGGAACTGCTTATTTCAATCGCATCTTCATAGACTGTGTATGTTTCTGTCAATGCCGGGTCACCAAAGACAAGAGAATGCCTTCTTGTTGCCTTCAGTCCACTTTGAGACAATATCTACCTTAAAATCGCATCTTCCAAGCATCTCTTACTCACCTCTAAGGTGTATTGAAATGCCATAGGGATATACTGATATACTATTCTTTATATAAACAAATGGATTTCCCCTTGCTGTGGCTCAATGTGGAATGTCCTTTTCCTGGTCGGTGGACCTTCTCCGGCTAGAAGAGACTGACCCCGCTCCAACTGGAGGCGACTCGGATGTTGGAGAAGTACTTCAGCACCGACTCCAAAGTGTCTCGATATGGGCCGTGCAGTGACCATCCCATCGCGGCGCGGGTTGGGCATCGTCTATGCCGGCCCCTAGACCCGCTCGGTGTGACACCTATTTTGGACCGCCAACCAATCAACATATGGTGTGTTTTCCCAAAGCAGGACCATACGCACGGGCCTATATACGTCACGAAAACCATGGGACGTGGACGTGGTTTTACCACCCACCCGTCTCTTGGTACTTGGAAACCTGGTCATCCGAACTCGGAGCCATGCCATTCACCACTTTCATTTTTGTCAGAGTAGATGGCACAGACCTCAAGATGTCCACATGGGGGTTTATATAAACGATATAAACCACCTCTTGGGGTCTTGTGCCATCTACTCAATCCACTATATCCCACCACTTGTCATTAAACCACTGCTTCTTTCAGGGACAAAGACAGAGCGAACCACCTCCTCGTGCGCCCGCGCGCACGGGCAGACCTAAAGCACCCACCACGGCTCCCGCCGCGGAGTCGCTCCGAGGTGGACCTCCGAATCTTGGTGCTCACCGATGGGCAAAACAACTCCGGTGCCTTGGAAGGTCCGAAACGCTCCTTCCGTTTCGCCCCCCTTGGCCCCCGGAGGCCCCGAGGCAAGCGGTTTCATCTCAGCTAGCAGTGCGTTGTTCCAGTTGAAACAGTGGGCGGCCCATTCGTGTGGGTTCTGCTGGAAAAAAACAGGTCAGCCATGGCCGTACGGTTTCGGTGTTTCCGTGTTTCACGTTCCGTGTCCCAGTCATCCACTGCCATGGCTTGTGCCACTTGGATTCAACTGAAACTGAGTGTTCATCTGAGGTGTCTCTCCAGAAGCAGCCTTTGAAGCTGTCAACAACATCGGAGCAGTGGTGGACGTGGCTCGGTTTTATCGCCGCTCGCGCCGCGGCCAGGATCAACTCACTGGCGAAGGGTCTACCCCTGCTCATTGGAACTGGTGGACTCTCATGGAGTGTCCGAAGTACACCTTTAGAACATCCTACTCTGCAGATTAAACATGGAACCGCAAAACTACGTCGAGTTGTAGAGGAAACTGGTCTTCCACCGGTCGAGTCTCAGGTTCCACGTTAGTTTGCGGGGGTGGATTTATTTAACTAATTGGACCCCAAGAGAGTTCTGATGTCAAGTCTGGGTGAACTATGAGCCAACCGAAACATGGACCTTGCCTCCTATCAGACCAGGGGTCCAGAGTTCATGGACTTCCATGGTTAAGGAAATTAAGGGCCCCAAAAGGAACAGCAGAAGCAGGAATTGATATGACTTTTGCCGAACTTCCTTCCGTTTGGCACGAAGACGAGCTCTTGGTTTTGCCGCCAGCCTCTTCCCTTCCACATGGCTGAGAGGCCATCATCGTGGGGAACAATCCTGACAGCGACTTGCGACGCATCGTGACGGCCACCGATGGGCAGTGCTACCAGATCGGCCATCTGGGCGAAGGCGGCCTCATCCGACCTGCAAGTGCCAGCAAGTGCACGGGATTCGAGCGGTCATGCGGGGTCACACGGTGGGGTCGTAGACCGTCATGCGGGTGCTTATCAAGAGTGCCATAGACCATGGTAGACCAAGCCAAGAGCTGAATGAGAGGATGATGTGGAATGTGATGTGAATGGTGGATAGTTGCGGCAGGGTGAAGGAAAACTGTTCACCGATCGAAGTGTACTGTAGCGAGCGCGCATGAAACAAACGCGTGTGGCTGCTCGCTGGTAAGGCTGGGGCAGTTTCAAGAAAGCACTTTTTTCTGGTTTCCCTTGTGCAAGAATGCTGCAAGCGGCATGAAATCAACGTGGTGTGACTTCTTCCTTTTCTGGAGGTTCACTCAAGAACCTGGATGAACATAATCTCGCACAACCAGTTGTACTGTCGACGGTACACAACCCGAAAGTCATTTTCACCACAAAATGTAGACACACCCATAATCAGACTTCCATGTCCTTTTCTCCCGCCATCATGCCCTTCACCTGAAAATTCAGGAACCTACCAGAGCGCCCCCGACACCCTACACTGTCCTATACATCCCTGCACTGTTTGACCATGTGTGACCCAGTTCCCATCCCAAGAGCACCGTCCCACCCCCACCCCCAACCCACCTCTACCTAAACAGCCCGGACTGGTCCTGGAAGGCTTTGAACTGCTGGAGTCGGAGGCCGTCGTCTCCCTGAAGGCGCGCCGCGGAGGCCTGGAGAAGCCGCCCTACCAGCCGCGCGAGGCCAGGGAGGGGATCGGGTTCGTGGGTGAACCCGTGCGGGTTGATTGAAAGAGCTTGAGCTAGAAGCTCAGTAGGCAAGAGTTGCCACCCAACTTGGTTTAGGCAGAAAATGCTGCCCAGCAAGAAGATCTAGGTAGGATATAGACGCGAGTGGTCTCCAAGAGAGAGGGAGAGGCCGAGAGAGAGGGAGAGAGAGAGAGAGAGAGAAAAAAAACAACAATAAGACAAACACGAATCATTCAGGACTTTCTTTTGGAGAGACTTCACTTTTTCAATCCCATCTTGGGCATAGACGACGCCATCTAGGTTTGCATTTTGGACACAGGCGTGACTGGTTGAGCTGCGCGCGGATCATGTGATCCATGCAGACGTGTTGTATTTCATGAAACCACGCCATACCAGCACACTGGATGCCTTAATTTAACGTGTTGGAAGATGTTGGAAAACTGAAAAGCAGGGTCCAAAGTGAAAAGCTCCTTTGACCCTGAAACCATGTTCATATTCAAAACTCCTTGTGGAAGCTCCTTGTGGATGCGCAAGCAAGCAAGAAGATGAGGTGCATTTCAAGAGTGTCAAGGAGAGGGAGATCATCTCTGGCTCCAATGTGCCCCGAGTACGCGACTTCGTTCAGGCCGCTGTTCCTGACGGCGCGAGTCTGAGACTTCGTGTGACGAAGTCGGGTGGTGGGCAGGGTTGAACCAGGCTTTTGGAAAGCTGCGATGCCAGGATGAGGTCAACCAAAGGCCTATAAACAGGTCACTTAAACACTCCAAAGAGGTCACTTTGAAGGTCCTGGCAGTTTAGTTTAAGCTGTTTTGGAAAACCTACAACGGTCAGTGGATGCCTCATCTCCGTCATTCTCCGTCCATAGTCCATAGCCATAGCCATAGCTGAGGAAGAAACTCAAGCGTAAGATGCTGAACAGCCTTCAAATGTAATCTGCTGCAGTTTTTGGATCATAGAGCTGAAATTGGTGATGTATAGTGATTTTGATGGAATTGGACCATTCACCCTGACTGAATTCGTGTTCCTTCTTTCACGGTGGGCCGTTCGGACGGTCAGGAGCGTTTGGCACAGCAGAAGGTCGTGTCTCTGGCCTCGGTGGAGACCGAAGCGCTGAAGAAGGCTCGGGCTCGGACATGGCCGTTCGGACGGTCGGGTGATGGATGTCAGGTCGGTGTGATGTGTTTTTTGGACTGATATAAGAACATCAGTCTGATGCTTGTGTGTGTCAAATCATCATACCAGTTCAGACACCACAATGATACTGACAAGTACTGTTGTAATGAACTGAAACTGGCTGTTGATCTTAAGTACTGTTGAACTGAAACTGGCTGTTGATGTAGTCGTGACGAGGTATCGAAGGAATCCAGATGTGTTCCACGGAATGGGTGGGGGTGGAATGATCCATCTCAAACAGGGGCGATCAGCTTCCATGTTTGCTGTGTAGCTGGGGAACTATTGACTTCATCCTGCCAGCCTTGGCGGTATAAAGCAAATCAAACATCGAAACATCATATACACGCCTAAATACACGCTATAAATCACCCCAAAGGGACACCGCATGTTCTCACATGTTCTCCAAGTTCTTTCATTCCGCGTTGAACACTTCTCACACCCTCCTCCACCCGGCGGTGAGTTATGGTGAATTCTTCCACGTGCGGCTCGGCGACCGCTTCGCTCGGGACCCACGGCAGGAATCGCACCTGAGCTCGGGTGCCTTGCGACGCATTCTCATGGAGTTGAAGCGCCTCAACGAGGGCGCCCCGCCGGGGATCCACGTCTTCCCCACGGTGGCCCGGAGGGAATAAGGGGGGAGGTGACGGGTGTGGGGTGGGCCGATTTTCTGGGCTTGGGAGATGGTGCTGTGGGATGACTTGGGATGGGTTAAAAGGAAATTCCATGAAGTTTTGTGATTGTGAAATCATGTAATTGTAAGCCCGTGTCACTATGATCGTTTATTATAGCTTATACTCTATTTTAAGTTTCCTTAAGGATCTATAAGAAGCACCACCGAAAGGGAGGTTTATAGATCCTGACTTCTGACTTACTAATTGTGTTCAGTGTCCATAACCTTCCTGACGGTTTTCAGCGGTGCTGCAGCATTTGATAGCACTTGTTCTGCATGCACCTGATGGAGCATCTCAAAAGACAGCAAAATCACCCACAAACTGACCCGCACCTGGCCATTGGGCGTTTCAGGCCAGGTGACCAGCAAAAGAGAGAACAACACCCGGAGTCCGTGTAGAACTGTGCTTGGTGAATACTTGGGTGTTGAATGCTTGCTTGGCAGAACAAAAGACTGTTGTCAGTGGTAGGTTACATGTCTTGGGGACTTCATCGTTTGAGGAAGTGTAAGCCTACTTTGCAAGACTAGACTGTAGAGGTCAGTATCTGAGACACAAGGAGGTACCCCGGACCCAGACTCACGGGTTTCAGGGCTGTCCTGAAACCTACTCACGGAGTCGGCTGCTGGATGACACGCGTCTCCTCTTTGTGGGGCCCACGGACGCACGACCGGGTGTGGTGGGTTGCCACCAGGTCGCGTTCCACGATCAAGGGACCGGTCACAACGACGTTCGACGGTCCATCAGGTCCAAGAAGATGTTCTCTCGGTTCTTTGATGCATGTGGCATGTGGTTTCAACTCATTGCACTCACCAAGGAAGATGTGAGCTTCTGGCGCGTGCTGATGGAAGGGCCTCCCCAGAGTCCCTTTGAGGGAGGTATCTTCGCCTTGGATGTGCTCCTTGGAACAGTGGGAAACCCCACAGACCCCTGTGCCGTGTTAGATGTTGTTCAATCCGTGTGCTGCCGTCCTGTGTGTTGTTTCATTTTGTTTCTTCGCTGAGATGGTCTGTCTTCGAGGGGTGTTTTGCCTCAAACACTCCATGGGACTGACTGGCATATTTCCCAACATTAGGATGGTTTCAAGATGTTTCAAGGGTCAATATAGGTACATATTCCATACATGGACGGTTTGCGAATGTATGTAAATATGCAGACAAAATATGCCTTGGGAACCAATGAACCATGGAGTGTTTGTTGTTTTTGTCCGTTCGTTCCAAGGATTTGCTGTGCATTTGTTGGGAAACATATATTTGTTGGTGTGCTACGCATGCTGCGAGCTGCCCTGTTTGGGCAGCGGTTTTGGTTGGCTGCCCCTGTTCCTCCACCAGGGTTGTGTTGCTTGAACCGCGAAACAAGAAGACGGTATACAATGCCATAGAATGCCTTTTGGTTCCTTTATCAATTTATATCCCTTGCATGATCTACACCTGCCTTTGGTGTACTCTTAAGACCCTTAGCCCCTTGATTCATAGGAGATTTACTATATTTATCCCTAAAGGTCAAAACCTTTGCAGATCTGAGAACAAGTAAGTTATTTCGGTGCAATGTTCCTTTTCCTATATTATGTTTATGTTTCCATAAAGGTTCCCGTATATTGTGGAGTAGTTGTGCAGAACAAGAGCAGGCTCATGACTCAGGATGAGAAGTAAGAACTTTGGGAATTCCGCAGCAAGACGAACCACATCCAGAAGCATATTAGGAGCACCGTAGCTTGTGAATTCACAAAAACGGTTGGCCGCGTGTTTCGGTGTAACATAGTTGCACTCATAGTTGCCTATTCATTATGTGTGTCATTTTAATCCATCCACATACCTCAAGCCTAAGTTCCTGGACTCACGTTCATTTATGATTCATTTAACTCCGTCAAGACCAATTGCTTCTCGCAGTAGCCACTATGTTTTGTTGATGCTTTTGGACTTGAACGGACAAAAGTGATACCAACCAATAGTTGTTTGCCCGAGTTGGTCTATTCATCTCCAATCTTATAGACTCCATGGAACCACGGCTATCTCCTTCCAGGGTCTCTTCAGTTTGGGACCACCGGTGATCGGAGGAAGAGCAGCGGGTCTTACAATCTAACATGGGTCTGTGACCTTCTTAGGTGCAAATCCCACAGAATCTGACACATTTGGGCACAACTAAGATGCAAAACATCGTAAACAAACCGCCAGTGGCTATCACTGCAGTGTTTGCCAAAGGGTTGGTGACTGACTGTTTGCACCAAGGGATCGCTTGCACCTGACAGCTCAGTAGACAGTGCCGGTTCATCTCTTAGTCCCATCTCAACTGTTTCGTCGTCTCCTCTTGACGTGGGTTTTCGGCGGTGGAACACCACACGCCACGGGGGGCAACCGCGGTTACGGACGCATGTTTTTTCTCCCAAGGCTTTTGCCCAACGAGTATCCCTTCCAGCCCCCGAAGATCACCTTCCAGACGCCGAACCTTGGCGACGTCGGGTGGTGCGGAAGAGAGGTCCCACGAGCTCCACCGTGGCGGTGGAGAGGTCCGGCGGCGGTGGAAAAAGCGGGCTGTTATACGATCTGACTGGGTGTGGCGCGGAGACAAGGATCCAGGCGATCTATGATGATTTATGTAGCTATGTTCCCAAAGCAAGCACATCTTTAAATCCATAACCATGAAATACCATGAAAAACAATATCTGAGTACAGCGTTCGTCTTTTTTGGGTTGAAGGAGGTACAAGGTCTAAGGTACTCAGTCTTGCACTCGCCGCGCCGCCTTAAAAGGTTCAAGGTCCAAGGTCCTAGGTCCCCTGCTTCTCCCTTTGGCCTGGAGCTCAGATCCAGGTGTTCTTCGTCATGTAGCTTCACCCCCTTTTCTAAACTCGCTGGCCCAGGCCCGGGGTTGGTCTTCTTCGTCTTCCCGCCCATTGGGAACTACTTTGACTATCGTTTGGGCCAACCCTGCTCTAATCAAAGTATATAACTAAGTCTGCTTAGTTTCCTTCAGAGTCAGGCCCTGCCAATGCCAATGCCAAGGTCCAAGGTCCATGATATCTGATCGAGTGGAAAATTTGCAAAGTGGCCCAATTTGAGCCTGTCATCCTTAGGCCACAACAAAACACATCTCCGGTGGCTTCAAGCAATTGCAGACCGTGCCGCGTGCGGTCTCATTGCACTAGAAGGCTCTTCCTTGTACAGTGAGGAAGCTGCCAAGCTTGCCAAGCAGTATTTTGCAGATGTCCTCGAAGGCTTTGCCAAGTTAACCCCAAGCTGCTTCAAAGTCAATGCGCCCAAAGCTCCACAGGTCAACTGCAGGGGTCAAGGCATTGCGCAGCAATTTCTGTCCCGTTTGACCATCAACAATGCCAAAATTCAGCAGCTCTGTGCAAGGTAGTCGCTTACTGGGTGAAATGAAGCCTAAGCTGTGGATCTTGGTCCTTGGACCTTGGACTCATCACAGCCTCACTCATGCCTGTGGCTTTGCCAGGGTCTGGCACCACAGGATGTGGGCTGGCTTCTCTCAGCTTGAAGGGTTTCGTCCTCCCTTCGAAGGGTCTAAGCACCAAAACCTGATTCTGCTGGCTTGGACCTTGGGCCTTGGCTCTGAACCGCAGCACTCAAAATGACCTCCGCCAAAGCTTTCAGCTCCACTATTCGGCAGGGCTGTCAGATCCTCATCCTTTTCCCAGGTGTTTGTTTGCAAATGCGTTGTAGATTGGTGCAGATCTTGGCCTGAGCTGCAAGCAGCACAGGTCTTGAGGCCCAAAAACCAATGCGCTGCAAGGCTTCTGAAGTGCAGCAGCTGGACACAGAAGTTGGTCCCCAGATCCACACCAAAGGAAGTGGACTGGTAATTATATAAATCCGGCTAACTTTGGGGTGCTTCCAGGAATTGGAAGTGGGGCTTGATCTGAGTCAGGCTCATGGTCCATGGTCCATGGTCCAAATAGGCCCTAAGATCAGGCAAGGCAAAACAGCTCCAACTTGGTATAAAAAGCCACACCAACAACTTTAAGAGGATCAGGCCGTTTCCAAAGATGTAAGCTGACACGCTTTCTTCAATCATTTGATCACAGTTTTTTTTAGTAGCGTGTGAAGTTTCTTCAATCTTTGCCAATCATGCTCCGCGGTGGACATGGGAGAGCTGCATCGGAGCCGAGATTTCACCAGTGAAGCCGATTTCTTCAATCTTTGCCAATCATGCTCCGACTGCAGGTGGACATGGGAGAGCTGCATCGGAACTGACACCAGTGAAGCCGAAAAAGGTCTCAAGAGTTCGATTTTTCATCGTTTTCATTCCAACCCCTTAACATTTTTCGGCCTGGTCCAAAGTTGCACCCAGATATGATTTATAAAGAAAATTATAGACACCTGATTTATAAACTCAGTAACATCATGATAAGCCATGAATAAACTAAATCTATATCAGGGGTCCTCCAATATTGCCACGTGGCTGCCTTGGTTCCTTTTCGGCACGCTCCCGACCCTCCCAAAAACACTGAGCCGAGTGCGCCGACCGAATGCGCTCACGGCATGCTTCGTTTTTCCGTTTGACCAGGTGGCTGCTTGACAAGTGTCATGAATGGTGTCAAATCTCTCTACCCCGGAATCAGATGAATTACTTGCCCAATCTTTTGAAGGTTTGTTTGTGACATGGCTTTGTGACATGGATTGACCGGGAAAAGTGGATCACTTGCCCAGCCCGTTGGGAGTTTGGATAAGTTTGGCCACCTCCATGTCGAACCCAAGAAGGGGCGGAGTAGCACGCCCAGCGTTTGGGTAGCACTGCTCGGCTTGTGTTTTCACCCAGGATTTATCATTGCAATGTGAATGCCAACGGAGGAATTTGTCACGCAACCGCACGGCGGATGATACGCAGAAACCGTTTTTTTCCGGTCGATGAAACACGAAACCGGAACGCAGAAACCGTGGGACGATGGACATCGGATGGTTCAATTGAAGTACCAAAGGGGAGGTTTGGAGAAATGCAGATGTTGAAATCAAGCCTCTCAACCAGAAAAATCGAAGGAAAAACACAGAACGTAGTGGAGGAGCGGAACAAATCTCTATAATTTGTGAGGTCTGGGGCGGTTTGTGGTGTTTTCCTTTTGCATGCCGCACAAAAAACATGCAAGTGTAACCAGTGTACTTTGTCAGGATCTCTCAGGTGTTTTCCTGTTTAAGTAAGTTCTGGATCCGCACTGTTGCATGTGGGGTATGATGGGTTGTTTGGCATGATGTCGCACGTGTGAAATACAAAAGATTCAACAGAACATGTATCCTCTCTTGAACAAACATGGAAGTCACGAAAGGTAGCCCTTTAGGGGATACCTTGACCTTGAGTTTGTCTTGCGAAGCAAGTGTTGGGACGTCCGGGTCTAATAATTGATCGCTCAATTCAGACCCCCCCCCCCTCCCCCCCTCTAAAATCAATTCTCTCCTGGAGAACGTCTTCGTGAGCCTCTCATGATTTCAGGATAGTTGAAACCCTCTTGAACATTTAGAAAGAGTGAATATGAAGTTCTAATCACGAAAGGTGTCCCCCGCCCCCGAGGGGATACATACCTAGAGTTTGTTTTGTGAAGCACGTCAATTCTCTCCTGGGGAGCGTCTTCGTGAGCCTCTTATGGTTTCAGGATAGTTCAAATCCTATGATGTTCCGATTCAATGCTCACAGATGATCTGAGCCATGGGGCAAGTTTGTTTTCCTAAGAACCTTTTTGAACATTTCGAGGGCACATGTTTGAACATTTAGAGTGCATATGAACATATATTTACGAAAGGTCGCCTCCGAGGGGATAAATCACCATGTCGAACATTGCATTTTTGTTCCTGCCTCTCGCGTTCTCTTCTCTTCCCGCTGTCCTACCTTTCGTGTCTCCCTCCTCTCAAGTGGAGTTCACCCCACTGTGGTTTTCAGACCTGGTCATGGCATCCACTTCAGACCTTTTTCACTCGCAGTACTCGCTCAACAGCCTCAGGCGACTCCAGGGTCATGATGTGTTGCACCACAACCACCTATACCCATCCTCCATAGTTCTCCCAAGGCCTGGACATGTTTTTTTGTTTTGGCGGTCCCAGGTCTCGACATCCTCAAGGAGTCCTGGTCACCCAACTTGACCGTGCAGCAGTGCCTCACCTCCATCCGTGCGCTGCTGGCGGAGCCCAACCCCGAGGATGCGCTCCGCCAGTGGATCGCCGAGCTCACCTTGGCGTATAAGCCGCTTGGCTTCTAGGTTGGAGGCCATCGCTAGTAGGTCGGCATATAAGCCGCTTGGGCCGCGTGACGTTGCATCGCGTTGGGGACGTCGGTGGGAGCAGGTGCAGGACACCGTTGTGAGTTTGGAAGAAGCACGGGGCCTGGGAGCCGAGTTCTTTGATGTAGAGGGCCTAGGGTGCCATTTAGGGCCAAGAGTGTTTCAGTTGTTTCTCCTGCTTTTGGGCCTGATGAGGTTTAATTTTTTTTTTGGCTAGAAAGGATGGTGTACCCCTGGTGGTTTTAAATGTTTTAAACATTCTTATCTCCAGGTGCTTGCCGGCCAACCCTTTAGTGTCAACATTGCAGAGTGGTACGTGCAAGGGGTTGACGGCTTCAGAATTCCCTTGCAGAGATGTTCTATGAACCAGCCAGCATTTTTGTGTTTGTGTTTTCTACCAGGTTCTTGACAGGGCTTTGATGCAGACATCAGATGAGTCCAACAAACATTGTACTTGCATGTACTTGCTGTATTGTACTCTACCGGGGTATTCCCGTTGGGATATCTATGGATATCCCTACATCCTGAGTCCGAGGTGCTTTGGCTTTGGCTTCCTGGTTCTTCCATTTGTGAGAGATTGAACATCACCCAGGTAGAGGAGGATGGTATAGGTAAAACTATAGCGTGTTCGTCTTGCATCTCTATGTCTCGATAGAACGTGGACAATTACATCCAATTTCCAAGCATGAATCATGACGCTCTCCTGCGTTGGATCCGCCAATTCACTTTAAATTAACTGTTGCAGTAGTACATAATTTATACCCAGCTTAGAACTATTGTAGCCTATATAGTTCAGTTCCAATAGCATTTCTTTGCACGGGCTGTGTTTTAATGGGCCCTACTTGCCACGGACAAACTGAGCCATCTGCCTGGGGACGTGCTGCCGAAGTCTCCCGCCACTCAGGCGCAGCAACGGCGCAGACAATCGCTATGTGCTGAACGCACAAGAGAGCACGGCCAAGGAGGCACACCTCAGCATTGAAGGTTGGACTCTTGGTGGAGGCCATCGCTTCTAGGTGGAAGGCCATCTCTAATAGGTTGGAGGCCATTGCTATTAGGTTGGAGGCCGGTGCGAGACTCTAGTCTAGGAACCCGGGGGGGGGGTATTATACGCTCACCCTCTCTCCAACATTTGGTGAAGGTGGACGTCCGGTATAGCCCTGGAAAGGCCATTTGCTCCTTTGGCAAACAGGGAAAGGCCCTCCGCTTCCATGTTTGTTGACCCTTCAGTCAACCCAGCAAGCTGTGGATGCAGGGGAGTGCTTGACAATGAGCGCTACGCATCTCCAAGAATCATTGGGACCTTGAGTTCCTTCATGAGACTTACTGTATCAGTTTATTGTAATTGGTTGAACCATGTTCAACATATTATTATACGGTAGCCGTACCCTACTAGGATTCCAACCACCATTGATTTGCTTTAGTAAGAAGTTTAGACTCTCAGACATTCTTAGACTTTAGACTACAAAACCAGGTCACCCTCCCGATATCCGCACTTCATGCCAAAATGATGCACCTGACACAGCACCTTTGCACTAGAAGTCCAGTTCGACCATCTTTGGCAAAGTAAAGAAATGCCTGGACTCGGGCCACCATGCAGACCATGCTTTAAACAGTCGACCTAGACTCCCAGGGTTCATAGGACGAGGTCCTTCCACAGGACGCCCTCATCCTCGTCTTTTCGTCCGAGTCTCCAAGGAAGGCCAAGTGGGGCCTCCAGTGAGCAGCCCAATTCGACTAATTCGAGGAAGAGGAAGATCATTCTCCAAGTGAAGATCGCACCAGAGAGTGGAGGCTAAGCCCACTCCGTCAATTCGACATGTTGGGCGAGCAGCTCGCCCCTTCCGAAACACCACAGTTTGTGTGGTGTGGAATAGAGAACTGCCGGGTGATTCCTCCGAAGGCTGTGTGGATTGATGTCTGTTTCCGACTCCTGGGAAACGGCTGGGTGGGGACCCATCAGTCGTGTTTGGGTATATGATACACTGAAATCATCTTGCCCATGCACCGAAAGGAAGACCATTCCAGTATGGGCTACTCCACACGACCTGTTGTGTCTTGGAGTGAACATGTCCGGTCGGGGACTGCAGTGACTGTGGAGACCTTGTCATGTGACTCAATAGAACCCCTGCGCATCACGTTTCAATGCACTCAAGCCAGTGAATCCCAGGCAGCTACTAGTAAGGAACCAGGTGTTCGTTCGGTCTATGGTTTAAGTCGAACTGGAATCACTGGTTATCAGTTATCAGCTTCAATAGTTTGCCTGCCTCCCCTTTCAACTCAAGGAATGATTCGTCTCATCGGTACTGCACGGCACTGGACCACCTCTCGAGGCACTCAAACATCGATCACCAGTCGCTCCTCAGAGTCTACGAAATCGTCGCTCCTCAGGTGGAGATCCAAACGCCTTTCTTTTTTGGGGGCCGAAAGAGGGTTGGTCGAAGCCCTGAAGATTCGGGTTGGTCAAGCTCTAATCCCATAAATCCATCGCTCAAATCTCCAGTGTGGCTACAACATAGACGTGGGAGTGCAGAGGTTTGGGTGTTTCTCCGAGGATCAGGTCATTGACACTGACCCAACTGTTGACCTCTTTGGGTAGATTGGTTCCTATGAGAAAACTATAAAGGACTCGGAAGAAGAGGCTTCTGAAAAGAAAACACAATCTTCGACTGGCCAACCTTCATCCTTATGTCAAGCTCCTGACCGGGACTCCAGCAGAGGGTTCCAATCTGTACAGCTGTGGTCAGTGGAGAAAAAAGCCTTTGTGCTGGCTGATCGGGACCGTGCCAGGTGCGGTTTGCCAGAAAATCTGGCGAGAGAATTAAGTTGATGTTGATCGAGAACAGACTGTTTGACGGTGGCCTCCGATGTTGTATTTGATTCTGTATTCTGCTTTGGGAGTACATGGTTTCCAGAGAGCGAACGCGTTTAACTTACCTGTTTCCAGTCGTGGTTATTCAACCACTGCTCATGTGCACTGCCTCTTAAGCTGGAGTTGGAGGATGGACACTGGCAGGGAAACTCTATCCATATCCTTACAACATCTTTAAAACACTTTTAGTGGTCGTAGTCACTACATCAGTTGCTCAAATCGTTCAAAACGTATAAATCCTACACATTCACCGCATGTTTCCCTATACAGATCTAGAATTATGTCGGGCGCGCCAGACATAGATACAAGGAGCCAAAACAGTTTTATAAAGCAAAAACACAGCAACAAAAAAGCACAAGGTAAAGCAAACAAAACAGGCAACAAGGAAAACAAGGCAGAACAGTCCAAGCAATGGGAAACAACACCAACGATAATTTCATTTGCTTTTGTTGTGCTTTTCTTTTTGCTTTTGTTTCACAAAAAACAATATTTGATGGTTGGCCATGCATGGCTGCCATTGCCCAACACAATTCTAGAACAAGACTCAGACACCATCCGTGTGCTCCTTTGATCGCCAGGAGCACTGCCACCGTTGGCGTGATACCCGCCCCAGCCATATGTCTCGCAGTGCAGGTTCGGGATGCCCGGCTGAAGGGTCGAGAAGAAGACAAGAGGACGGAAGATGAAACAAAAGTACAGGGTCTGTCCATGTCTGTCCGAACTTACCTGTGACAGTCAGTAAACAATGATCAAGGCCTGCAACTGAACCATCATCATTCACTGTTGCAGGTATTAGGATAGACCCAAAACATGCTACTCCTTGGAATCCATCCGTTTGATCATATACATAACATACACCCTGAGTGACGTGTATTGGACCACCATGCCACCAACCACTAATTTTGGTGTGGACAATGGCCGAGAGCTAGCAGAGCTGCACGAATTTGATATGCTTTGTTACCTCATGAAAGCTGTCAAACATATGTCGGACTGATTTTGAGGACTACCTCAGTCGACTCATAGCTGTTGATGGAGATCATGAGGTATGGAGAAATTAGTAAAGGCAATGACTCAGCCGAAAAGCTGCAAAAGGGTAGATCATGAGGAGGGACAATTTGAGCCCATTTGACCTTTGTTTTGATAGCCGAAAGGACCATATTTTGGATGGTTTGTGATCCAAACATAGAGGTCACTCAGGCTCTTCCAGGTATACATAGGTGTTGATGTTGGAGGTCCACCTAGATCACGTCCATTTACAGACCCCATCTCAGCCTCAGAGGTCTCGGACGTCCTGACGTTTCCCCGTCCGAACGTCCGGACGTTCGATGCTTGAGGTCGCAAGGTGCACATCGACCACATGAATTGGTGTTGAACTGAGATGACCCAGGAATCACATGGATCACGACAGCCCCACACCGTTGCGCCCTGTGTGGGACACGTTTGGGGACACCACACTGAACAAGGAACAACCAGACAACAGGAAGAGTCCTGTGGAAACAGATCCCAAAAGTAGCATGTGAGAGAGCAACCAAGGGAGATTCTAGGTGGGCCAGCACAGCCAGCTTTGTCCACTTACCCTTTGGGTTCAGTTGGTCAACGGCACGTTTTGCGTGTGTGATCCGCCTGAAGAAGCTCTCTAGGCAGTGCATGTTTGAGACGAATATGCTTGCTCTAAAGACAATCACCACCAAACGGATACGACGAGACGGGTGACACCCAAATAAGGATCTAGATAGAAGCTCACCTGCAATGTCCAATGGAAGAACCCAACGGAACGACACCACCGAACCCCACGGAAACTCCACGGAAACCCACCTGAGACCTGAGGTGTCACCTCAATGCCTGGCTGGTGGGTGGGGGGCACCTGAATGCCGCGATGGCGCGCGGTCCGGCGCGTCCCCCAGTCACCGAAGTGACCGAACACCAGGCGTAAGACCAGAGTTTTTGGGTCGTCATCCTCATTCGGCTGTTGCGCCCTGTAACTCTGAGCCCCGTTGTTCAGGCCACAACTCTGAATTGCAACCCTATAACAGGAGCAGGTCTTTTGGCTCAGCAAACGTGAAGTTCCGGAACGCCGGACCACAGAAATGACATCCCCTAACAATTC